AAAGGTTGAAATCTTTGAGTAGACGATCCATGAAGCGTTGACAAATGTATTCATCTCTAAAACTTAGAAAGACATCATATTTCCATCGATGAGCGACACGCGTAGTAGCAAAAAAGTAACTGGGATCCTAGTAATTGAAAACGAATCGAACTAAGAACCTTAAACAAAGTCAACAATTTGATCGACCTAAAAAATGAATATAAGTTATAATTAAAGAAGTTCGTATATATGAGTGTAATTAATTTGTCCATCGTTCCTCTAGTTATATTGGTGTATAACATTCTAGCTTTAACACTTGCAAGTTTTAAAATGGTTACAAACCTACAAATTATCAAACTTTTAAAATTTCTGGGATTTCACAGATTGTATAGCTGAATCATTCATCCATTGACCTGGTATCTGCAAAAAGATACGCACCTCAACAAGTAGATCTATTAATCCCTTATCAGATCAATTACTCATCCTTAGTTCATGTGGTTAGATCAAATCAATTTCTGATTAAGATTTGATCCATTGATAACCTTAATACCTTATATTACTTTTTTTTTCATAACCATTTGGAAATGAACTACAAATATGAAAATGAATTGAATAAAGAAACACTTCATGAGAATAAGAAATTAGAAAGCTGAAGAAATTGTTGATAACTTACAGTTTTGATGATGAAAGTCTTTGGTTGAATTGAATCAGGAGATAAAGTAAGGCTACATTGACCAAGAMTAAGCTCATATTATAGGAAATGGATATATGCATTCAGTCAAAATCAACTTTATATATGGGAGAAGTTACACTTATAGTCCCTTAATATGTGAAAGAGTAATGGCAGTCACTTGAGATTTTTAGCCGGTGAGGATACCTGATTATCGCTTTCCAGGTAAATTGTTGCATACGATCCGTATTGATGAGCTAAAATCTTACCTGGAAAAGTAAGTGAGCATGTTTACTTGACAAAAATATAAAAATAAGAAAACTAACACAAAATAAAATAACCTCCTTAAAAATCTGATTATCATTGAAGTTGAAAGCAGCTTGTTGTTGCAAAGCTGTTGTGCACTGAGTTTGATACTTAAATGATAATTAACAAAGAAATCAATGAGGAATCATTGATATATTTGTTTGGATTCAGATCTCCGATTAGTAAGACCATAAATCTGATCATGAAGGAAATGAGATGGAAGCCTATAGCTTATTCAGAGTTATGTTCTAATGAAATYAGAGGTATGATCATGTTGATCAAGAGTTGTGGAAATTTATTTAGATTTTGGATAAGTTCTTCCAGATTTTCAGAGTTGTGTTTACTGAAATCTGATCATGTACTTCCAGATTTAGAGCGAGTTTAAGCAAAGCATATTCAGAGTTATCAGATAGCTCTTCCATGCATTCAGAGTTACAACTTTATGTTTCCAGATTTCTGCCAAGTGCATTCAGAGTTATGCATCAACGTTTTAAGAGTTAGACTTTATGCTATTCAAGTATGAAATCTTCAGAGTTACAGCTCAATGTCTTTAGAGTTACAGTCGCGTGTATCCAGAGTTAAGCCTAATGCCCGTGTATCCAGAGTTTTGCTGTCAGCTTTGCACAGTTGTACATTTTGATCATATCTCCCTCCTTACAGCTTCAAAATTAATGAGTACAGATAGGATGGAAAGATAAGACACAGTTCTACAACTTTGATGATTTAAGTTTTCTCAAAATCAAGCTTCTTGGTATGTCAAAAATTGTGTTAAACTCAAGTGATAGCTGCTGGGCAGAAGCTGAGAAAACACTTGTTTGACTTTCACAAGTCAACTCTGAGCTTAAGACTAATTCAGCCATTTTCTAATCTTGAAGGGCAATTGCTGTTTTTAATGGATGTTTTTTATGATTCTAAAGAGATCTATTCTCTGATCTTGAAGCCCCATCTCCTGGATCTCAAACGAACAAAGTTGTTGACTTTCAAAAGTCAAATATTTCTGATTTCAAGTTAACGAGTTCTCCTCTGAATTTTATGGTTTCATGCTCATACAGTGGAGTTTTATGAACCATTTCCTCCTTTGATCTTAAAGTCACATGCTCTGAATTTAAAGAACACTCAACTCGGATTGTAAAGACGGATTCTTTGTCTTAAAGATTGTTTTGCGCAACTATGGAAAAACGTGCACAACTCATTCATTTATCCATTCAGATGTTTTAGTGATTATAATCCTCAGTTTTAATTAGTAGATAAATTCAAATATTTTAATAAAAACTATAATATACTTTTAAGCTCTTCCACCATCATTTTGCAAGATGCCCTTGGCGAAAACCACAAGCCAACATATTTGTTATTCTGAAAAGTAAAGAAAAAACTCTTATCTATTTTAAGTTTTTAAACAATTTTTTAATGAAAAAATTATTAAACTTTCTCATTTTGAATGGTTAAGTTGTTAATTTTTTTTCTGAATAAGTAAACCATCGAACTTCTAAAGAAAGGTTACCTATATCTTTTAATGAAAAAAACCATTTGTAACTGATTAGGATTGTTTTAAAGTAAAAAACAAACCTAAATCAGTTTTACCGTTACCAAACCCTACAAGAATAAAATCCTTTGCGAACGACGGTATCGCTCCTCTTTGCCACTCCCTGTTGCCCTGACGTTGTCCGTTCTTCGTATCGCCTAATACGTTTTTGGCCCTTGCCAATGATCTCCTCTGCTTATTTTTTATCCATCAAAAGAGAGAGAATCAAAAGATAAACGGTTACAAATAACATTTTTTGGGTTAAAATGATGTACGTAACCAATTTCTAAATGTTCGATGGTTTAATTTATTGAAAAAAAAAATGTCTAGACACTTAATAATCTAAAATGAGAAAGTTTAATGGTTTTTCATTAAAAAAAGATAGTTCAAAAGCTTAATCATTCAAAATGAGAAAGTTTAATAGTTTTTTCATCCAAATAAATAGTTTAAAAACTTAATCTTTCAAAATGGGATAATTTGTTAGGTTATTTTGAAATTTTCAAGGATGGGTCTTTTAATTAAAACTAGAAATATAGTCGCACAATGTAGTGAGATACATCTTCATTTTAATGTTTCGTTTTATTTTTTGTATTTATTAGTATAATATGGTTTATATGGTTTTGAGAAATATAATGTTTTTACTTTAAAATAAAAATAAATTTGAAGACATCATAAAAATTTGAAAAAGTATATCAATGTTAATATTAAATTAACCATTTAAAAGTTTTTGTTTTGTTTTTACAATTTCTTTAATTTAATTTAGGTCAATGGTGAAATAATTTATTTTTGGCTTATCAATAATTTTTTTATAAAGATAATGATTCTGTTAGAACTCAATGAATTATTCTAATTATATTTTAGATTTTGTATATTTAAAATGAGATGTTTATCCTGTATTTGATTATGTTTATCTGCAGTTAGTTATACGAATTTAAAATGGAGATTTAATAAGTTTTACTTAAGCATAATTTACTTGTAATCTTAAATTTTAAGTAATATGCATTAATACATCATACTTCATGCATAAAGAATAATTTTTAAAAGTTTTATCAAATGCTTTATAATATAATATAGATAAGAGTAAATTGCAATTTTGGTCCCACTCGTATGCTTTTTTTCTTGGCTTGAGTCTCTACAAATTTTTTATTGCATTTTGTTGTTTTATTCCCACTTTTTCTTGGGTAGGCAATGAAATAAAAATTAATAGTTTTTTAGAAATATAATATAACGAAATTTGGTCCATAGAACGCCATCAATATATGTAAACATCCAAATAAACCTGTGAATCCCAGATCTGACAGTAAATCAAGAACAAATTATAATTGAAAGAGATTGAAGATGAAGATAATAAATCCGACCAGCTTCATATTATTGAAAGCAAAATTACATTCTCTCTCTACACTTTAGTCGACTCTCATATGAATGAATAGATTGAACAAACAAAATAATCAATTCTAAATCTATGCCACATGTCAGCTATTTATAGAAGACATTTACATTGAAAATCCATTAGCCCTTAAGCCCAATTACATGAATATTACAATACAATAAATTGACTTTATAAAACTTTCAAATACTTGGAACTATTTTAGTCCTAACAAAACCGCTATATACGATTCACTTTTATATGATAACAAATTAAAGTGTCATATATAAAGGTGTTGTAATCAGTTTATAAGATGTTTTTTGACGTCTTAACAAGTTTTTTAGGACATTTTCAATGCAAAACGTTGCATCATCTATTTATAGGACATTTTTGAGAAATTGTCTTATAAACCGACTTTTTATAGGACATTTGTTTTTACAAGACACATTTTTAAATAGTGTCCTATCAAATAGCTCCTACGACGTTTGTTATAAAAACGTTCTAAAAACTTATTATGATACACAAAGCGTCATATAAACTTATTACAGTGACCATGGCACTTTATTTTTTCTGTTTTATAAATTAAGTCTTATAAAATGGTCTATTAGGATGCTTAATTTCTTTTTTGACTTCCTATCAACCTAATTTTATTATAGTGTAAATAGGTGGTAGAAGGTTTTAAAAAATTAAAATTTGAATTAAGCACTCTACTAAGTTGTCTTAGCTGGTTATAGAGGTGATATCCATTTTTGTTTGAGGTAGTTGTCCAGGTAAAATTTCGGTTTGTACAACCTACGTAAGAAGACTAGTGACGTACGACCATTGAGCTTGCAACAGTCGCGACCTAAGACATCTTACGACTCGAAGCCATAAAAGAATATGACTAAAATACACAATCACTTACGTTATGAAGATAAGACAAGTAAGGGCGCGCCCTCATAACGCCTTATTCAAAAGAGCATTGAACTGTCTATATAGAAAAGCAACATATCACACATTCAAAACATAATCTTAACAATGGTCGACCAAGAATCCACTGAAGATACTAAAACTACAGATAACAGACATAATGAATTGAAGAGGATATAAATACTTGCACCTCAGATCAACTGAGATGCACATTACCATCGGTTCATAGTCGCAAATTCCCTCTGAAATACTCTCTGAACTTTGTTATAATTCTTACGACAATTATCATTTCTTACGTCATTTAGTTACGTATGACCCGTTGTAGAGGACGACACCCCTGTTCAATATCATTAATCGATAGACTCAGTGCATGTGCATGACCACCCACTTTTTTGGGATTTTCCATGTCATTGAAAGATTTGTGTTCTATACTGTCTTCAGTTAATTTCTTATGACATATTACATTAAATTATCTAACTTTACTCGAAGCTCCACGTCCCAACCTTAAGCCGTAGTTGCGCGAGACCAAGTTTTATACTTGAAGTTTCACAACAAAACTTCACAGCAAAGACATTGTGAAGGTTACCTTCACAATGTTTTACTGTGAAGTTTTAAGTATAAAAAAATGGTCTCATGGGTCTCAGACGATCGTAATCATAAAGGCAAAAGCATAAAGTAAATCACAATTAATGGCATACCATATATGCGCAAATAAATCATCAAAATATGCATTTTCTTACATGAAGGAGAGAGACCACTTTGTTACGTAAATGCAATCCCTGGACATCTTTACTCGATCCAAAAACCCACTAATGATTTGGGTCGAAGATACCACCATCTTGTGGTTGAGTTGAAAGGTCTTGGGTCATACTTAAATCCATATCTTCCTGCATATCTTCATCACAAAAAAGTCTTACACCACATTGCTTCACCTCAAGAAAGGGACAACTGAAGGAAAAAGTTACCAGATTCTTTGCTTTCATCCAACTCGGTTTAGACTTCGAATAATGCAACCATATCATATCCGACCCAACGATCCTTGTGCAGTTAACCATGAACT